GGGGAGTGGGGAGATGATGAAGAAAAGAGAATTTAATTACCGAAAAAAATCTTACAAAACACTAAAAGTTAGTTGCGTATCCTTTACACGACACTGCAGAACCAACTCAAGATTTTTATTGCGAGAGAGTGAGGGAGAGAGAGAGAGAGAGAAAAAAAAAAGAGAGAGAGAGAGAGAGAGAGAGAGAGAGATACACAGATGCACACCCACACAGAGAGAGAGAGAGAGAGAGAGAGAGAGAGACAGATAGGGAGAGAGAGAGCCACATATATAGATGCACACCCACAGAGAGAGACAGATAGGAAGAGAGAGAGAGAGACAGATACAGATGCACACCCACAGAGAGAGACCGATAGGAAGAGATAGATAGATAGAGAGAGAGAGAGAGAGAGAGAGAGAGAGAGAGAGAGAGAGAGAGAGAGGGGGGGGGGGTCTTCCAGCTTTTGTAATTGTTGTCAGGTAATGTTTGTTATTACTTGTTAAAAGATGTAAAACGACATAGTGTATGGCAAGATTGAGGCCCGAATGGCTGACTGTTATATGTGCCTACTTCCTAATCCTTCGAAAATAACATTCGCTCGTTCGGTAATTTTCTCTCTCTAAACTCTTCTCACTCTTCTTCTCTTTCTGTCTCTTCTCTCTTCTTCTCTCTTCGATCTTCTTCTCTCTCTCTCTCTCTCTCTCTCTCTCTCTCTCTCTCTCTCTCTCTCTCTCTCTCTCTCTCTCTCTCCCTCTGTCTGTCTGTCTTTCTCCTATCATTCTGTCTTTGTTTATCTTAACTCTTTGTATCTCTCTCTCTCTCTATCTCTGTATGTGTTTATTCACAACAAATCTCTAATGTAAGACACAATTCTCTTATTATGTGACAATAATATCAGGGAAAAAGAAAGAACGAACTACCGAATCCATGCTTAATTGTCATCTTCGTTTATTCTCATTCCTGCCCTCAAGACCATTTGTAAATTTAAAAGCACTGGGTTGTTGAAAAACCACGCAAGCTATATTTGATCCCCTGTTATCTAGTCCTACGACCCACCACCATAATTTTGTTACGAAGTAGAATTTAAAAACACTTAATAAAGTCTGACTCAATGAAGTCTTACTCACTGACTGGGGTGAAGTGTCAAGGATAGTGGTTGACAAAGGTCGCGTGTGGTACAGGGGCGCCGAACCCTAGGGCGTCTCAAGCTCCCCTCCACTGGAAAATTGTAAATTGTAATAGGATTGTCTGCGCCCTAACGCCCCCCCCCCCTTTTTTTTTAAATCGTTCCCAAAGTATGTATGAAAGTGTATAGAGGATTTGTTTACACAAATCCTATCCGAACGGAAGGTTTTGGATTGGGGTTGTGGTGGAGCCGCCACCCCACAAACACAATCACCTTGGCTCCCAGGTCGATCTAGCCTTGAGTGGGTACCAGTTACAAGTTCTGGGAAGTAAAGGAGGCAGACATTATGTTGACCACATCACCCAACGAATGCCGATTGGTCTATAACATAGAGATCCAGCTCTGAAAGCTTGGAAAATGGTCCTTTACTTTTATTTCGGCACATCGTTATTATCATGGGAGGGGTGGGGGGGGGGGGGGGGGGCTGCGTTCTCTCGAGGCATGGTGTCCGCCTCGAGTGCTTGATGTTCCGGGTTCAATCCTTGGTAAGGGCTGACATTTTGTCACGTGGACCTAGACTTCTAGTGATTCCCTCTGGGTAGTGGGATCGGACGCCTGTGTGTATTGTTGTTGCGCACATAAAAGAAATCCCTTGGCAGTTGGAAATCGAAAAGAGTAGCCTAACGGCGCTGCCCGGGCAAAATTTTAGACTTAAAAATCTACCCAAAGTATTTAAGGATCCTCGCCTGTGCTACAGAGCCTGTGCACTGTGCTGAGCTTCTTCGGACTCAGGCTTGAGTTAGAAGAAGAACGGAGCACTTATGGGTCACTACCCGTGTGCCATGATGTTGATCCGGTGTTGAAACCTCAAACCTGTCATCGTGCAATTGTTTTCTAGAAAGGTGTCGGTACTCACCACAAAGGTCTATGACAGTGCTGAAAACACGATGCCCTAAAACGGTGCCGGAGCTGCGAACCGCTGCGTACTGTCAGAGAAGAAAGCGCTCATTATTATTGTGTATTATTATTACTATTTCTTAAACCTTAAAAAAAAAACTTAGCCCCCCCCCCCCCACGAGATGTCTAGCCCCCCCCCCCCCCCCCCCCCCCCCCCCGCTAGAAAATATGTAAATGGTCTGAGGCTCCCCCTGTTTTCTTTGTGTCGCGCCCCTGCTGTGGTAAGTGAACTACTGGCCCTACTCACTTAAGGTATACGGTCTGTCTGTTGTGTGCTGGGATGTTTAAGTGTTGGTAGTGCTCGGTTTGGTGTCTGTGTGCGCTATTTGATATTTTCCTAAATTTTCTTTTCTGATGATTAATACAATTTAGTAAAGACAAGACTTTGTGGGCAGGTAGGTAAGTTGTACTCCACCAGGACATCACACAAGCGATAAACACCCGATGACACAAAGTGCCACCATGCGGATGAGGATCACCCGTGAAGAGGTCCCGGAAACCTCGTTCAGCCGTTAGGCCATATTTCAGGCCCGTCTATATTTAGAGCTCCCCGGCAAAAGCCAGGAAAGAGGGGGGGGGGGGAGGGGGGGGGTTGGTGGAGGAGGGAGGGAGGGGGGCTTCAAAAATAACTAAAAATTGCATCCCATATGAGGATGACGATAAGCGTTGAGCGACAAGACTTAGTGCGTGTGTTGCGATTCGTCGTAATCTGTGATTTCATTGGCCAGCTATGTGACAGGTAATTTGTAAATTAGATAGTGTAAATAAAGGACCCCGTTGACGTCTGTATGAGGCTGATGTTGGTTAGGTGCTGAGGGAGGGAGTAAAGGCGACCGGCGTGATGCTGACCACATCACCTACCCTGTGCCGATTGGTCTATAAAATGTACATCTAGCCCGATATGCCCAACTCGTCTAAAGGCGTGGAAAAAGGTCCTTTACTTTACATGTGTTTGGTATGTTTACAGATATTGCCATCCCATAAAATCAGCGGGAGGTATACCTGTAACAAATGGGTTATGAACATACTTTCCTAATTCCAACCCACTGGCTTCGATTCTGCTGGAGATCAGTATGTGCTGATTTTGACAATGGCATGAGCGTCGACCGTGCGGTTAAGTAAGCAGTGGCAAACTACTAAACATACAGAGTCCGACAATTAAGTAATGAGACCGAGTCCCTACAAATTAAAATAATAAATAAGATATAACATGTATATGATTCAAAGTAAGCCCCTTGTGCATTGATACAGCGAGTGGCACCATCTAACAAACACTGGAACGAGCTTTGAAGTTCTTCTGTTATTATTGCCATAAAAGTCGATGTTACGATCCTTTGGGTGTCATCAGTAACGTCAAAAAAGCGTACTTTAACTTTGGGAATAGAAAATAATCCAGGGAGACAAATCTGGGGAATAGGGTGGGTGGTTTGGAATACACATTTGTTTATGGCTAAATATTTCTGTACAACTACCGCCTGGTAAACTGGTTATCAGACAACAAATGTGGTACAAACCGCCAAGTAATTTTTTTCTTCTTACCCAAATCTTCCACTAAAATTTTACGAATGGTCCCTCTATTAACACCAAATTCATCTGCCATCATCCTCACAAACAAATAACGATCTTCATGTATCCGTTCTCTGACTTTTGCAACGAGTTCCTCATTACGAACAGAAATTGAGTGTCCATGTCTAGTTGCATTAGTAATCATTTCCACGCCACTTTTGAATCGTGAATACCACCTGAAAATCTGCACGAGATAAACAGTTATGACCGTAAGCTCGTCGCATCAATTTAACTATCTCAATGCCGCTTTTTCTGAGTTTTAAACAGAATTCAGTATTTGCTTTTTGCTCCATGCTGATAATGTAACAATGCACCTCTGACTAGGCCAACAAAATAAAATGGCGGCTTGTTTGTTGTCTGCTTATCGGGTGGCGATGAAAAGTTGCCAGATCATAGATGAAGGTTGCCTCTTTGTGTTCCAGGCTTTGCTTTATAGATGGCACTTCTATCTTGGCCATAATAAAACCAGCCTCATTACACCTAATTGTCGGGCCTCAAAATCACAAACAGGCAGCATGGGTTTATTGGAATGTCCTGAGAGTTGTGATACTGTTCCCCCCCCCCCCCCCCCCATTCCGCTTTATTCCCCCCCCCCCCCCCCCCCCCCCCCCCCCCCCCCCCCGCCCCCCCCCCCCCCCCACACCCCCCCCCCCCTTTTCCAGCAACTCTTCTTGATTTCTGTTGCACATTAGACAACTGTACCTTTTACAGTACACACAGGTAGAGTTCAAAGTTGACTTTTTTTTGCACTTTCCAAGTTCTTTATATGCTCGAGCCTCTGGCCCATAACAATTCACAATATCTATATTTTGGCCTCCAAGTGAACTTAGTTGAACAGCCCTGAATTTTTTTTTTGAGGTTATGTTATGTGTCTGTGTTTTACTGCCAGATCCACATTGCTAGTATATAACAAGAGTTTTCCTAATGCCTCTATGTGTATGTGTGTGCGTGCATGTGTGTGTGTGTGTGTGCGCACGCACACATGTGCACACCAGCCCCCTCTCCAACAACAGTCACTAGCTACTAGAGTACCAGTCTAAGCCATTAGTTTTGGTGCGATTAACATGTCTTAGCCAAAATAATTTGCACAAAGAAACCAGACCACAGTTATAACTGATACTGCTGGCAGTAGGTTGAACATGGTCGTTTTGTTTGTCAAAAATGGATGGATGTCAGTTTCATAATTTCACTTGAGCACACAGTAAAGTATCTCAAACTCCCCTTTCATTTCAGGAACAGCGAATCATTGAGTTAGAGAGGCAGAAGTTGATTGCCCTGGAGGAGCAGCAGCACCAGTTGCATGGCCGACTGCTGAGGTCCTCCACTTCAAGCACAGGGAGTGGTAGCAGTGCCAGCAGCAGTAGCTTGGTGATGCATGACGATGTTGCAGTGATGAAAGTTCGACTGCAGCAGGAGCTGGAGAGACAGAGGAGGATCTTTGACGACCTGGAGTTTCAGCAGCTGGAGGTGACAGTAGTTCGTCTTGGTTCATCATTTTTTTTTTAAATCACAAGGGAACACATTCTTCTTCTCCTTCTCCTCCTTTTTTCTTTTCTTTTTCTCAAGTCCTGTTTTGCCTCTTGGTGTCATGTTTTTAAGAGGCATTGTATGTGAGCCTTGGTATGTGCTACATAGATGCTGGTTTTTACAGCCTTGAATATTCCAATCTATCCATCGCTTGCATGGTACACCTCTAGCTCTACTTTTATTATTTCTCAGCAACAGGGCTCTCTGTAATGCACTATCTTGTGGTAGTCTTGGCACCTGTTCAAACCATTTGATCTGTGGTCTGTTGATGTAGTTCAGTACTTGTTGTGTCCAAGCTTCTTTGCTGATATGGTTATTTATGTAGGATTCGTCCCAGACATTTCACTTCTGTTGCTTTGATATTAATAGGGTTCAGTGGAAAATCATCATCTGGAAAGAGAGAAAAGTGCCAACAGTCAGTCGATCTGTCCTACTCAGCTCCTCAGCTTTGCTGATGACTGTCATTCTCACCTGACAGTCTGGGTTCAATGCCTCATGCAATTTTATTACTTGTTTTCCCAATTAAGGTGACCTCCTTACAATTGCTAGTGTGTAGTTTCATAATTCTCAAGTTTCATAATTTGTTTAAATCACCTTTAATTGCTGACATCATGAGGGCTAATAGACTGCAATGGTTGGGACATATAAAGAGAATGCCAGATAACAGAGAGACAACAATTGTGTACATGAAAACAAACATAAATGGGAGTAGACCATGAGCCAGACTGAGAAGACAGGGGAGAGATAATATACATTCTGACCTGCAGACACATGGAGTCACCAAGTGAAAAGAGAAGGCTAGGCAGAGAGATGAAAGTCAAGGTCAGTATGAGATATTCATTGGAGGCAGGTGATATCTGCAGCAATGAATCTCAAGGGCTGGGAATACTGAAGAAGAAGTGTTAATATTTTCTGTCACTTTTGCAGGCTGAAGCTCGATTTGAAACTGAGAAAGAACAGACAGGCAATCGTCTGATGGCTCAGCAGGCAGAACTCTTACAGAAATACAGAGAAAGAGAGGTGAGATTTTAGTTGTCTTATGTTTGCCTTTTGTTCCTTGTTTTAAAATATTTTGCAGATAAATGCAGAATGAAACCATCATGAATGACATACAAAATAAAGATAGTTTTGTGACACCGTTTCCCCACCAGGGAGTATACATTGTCCTCACATGTTCCCTGTGTAGCTTCTTGGGTATTATTTGGAGTGGGGGGGGGGGGGGGGAGAGTAGACTCACCCCCCCCCCCCCCCCCCCCCGCCCCCCTATCAAGCATTTTGTAAAAGGTAACTTCTTAGGGGTGTTTCCTTCAAAGTCAGAGAACATCAACCCTAAGAGGGAACCAGCAGTCAGCTTACAGATGTGTTCACAAAACTCAAGTTCTGAAACAAGACCAAAGTCTACAAGTGGATGAACAACCAGAATTTACTGCTGGAATTTACACCTGGTGAAAAACTAAGAAGAAGAGGTCCTCACATATTCAAATGTATTGACTTGTTATTATTATTTTTTTTTTTTTTAATTGTATCGACTGAAATGTAACCCTACTACCCAAGATACATGAAATTGTTAAACTATTTCACTAACCTCTAAGCTACAGAACTGCACCTTACATGCGATATTACATCTAAACTCTCGCTGCTGTTGAGCACTCTTGATCTTGATCTCTTTGACACATATTCCATCTGCCAAAATTGCCTCCTTATGTTTGAACTGATTGACTTGCTACTGTCGTTTGATCAAATGTGAAACAAACCCCACGACCCTCGAGGCAAACGAATTGACCACTTCTACATAATGAGGTGGTCAGGCTGTTTTCCAAAAGCTCTAAAGGTCGTGGATTCAATGCATGGGTATGTCATTCAATTCACAAATGCAATTTTCTTTTGGCGACCTCTGGAGATTGTTACTAGAGCTTTGGAATTTTTGCTTTGTGTGATGCTCTTGTCAGGCAGAAAAATAAATCTAAGGAAAATCAGCAACATCCAAGTCTTAGTTACAAACTCTGGAGTGTGCTGTAAGTAGGCCTGAATTTTACAACAGTAATAACACTTTTAAAATAAATCTAAGGGAAATCTAGGGATACTAGGATATTTTCAATGGGGCTTGTAGTCTGTGATTAGAAAATATTCAAATGGTTTTCAGTTGTGGAGAGAGGCCAAACCATGTGGGATCAAACCTGGTGCAATGAAGCTGATCCTCTTGACTTGAACTTGATAAAATGTGATGGACTTGAACTTGATAAAATGTGACGGACTTGAACTTAGGACTTGAACTTGATAAAATGTGACGGACTTGAACTTGATAAAAGGTGACGGACTTGAACTTGATAAAATATGACGGACTTGAACTTGATAAAATGTGACAGACTTGAACTTGATAAAATGTGATGGACTTGAACTTGATAAAATGTGACGGACTTGAACTTGATAAAATGTGATGGACTTGAACTTGATAAAATGTGACGGACTTGAACTTGATAAAATGTGATGGACTTGAACTTGATAAAATGTGATGGACTTGAACTTGATAAAATGTGATGGACTTGAACTTGCTAAAATGTGACGGACTTGAACTTGATAAAATGTGATGGACTTGAACTTGATAAAATGTGACGGACTTGAACTTGATAAAATGTGATGGACTTGAACTTGATAAAATGTGATGGACTTGAACTTGATTAAATGTGACGGACTTGAACTTGATAAAATGTGACGGACTTGAACTTGATAAAATGTGATGGACTTGAACTTGATAAAATATGACGGACTTGAACTTGATAAAATTTGACGGACTTGAACTTGATAAAATGTGACGGACTTGAACTTGATAAAATGTGATGGACTTGAACTTGATAAAATGTGACGGACTTGAACTTGATAAAATGTGATGGACTTGATAAAATGTGATGGACTTGAACTTGATAAAATGTGATGGACTTGAACTTGATAAAATGTGACGGACTTGAACTTGATAAAATGTGATGGTTTTCAGGAACGACTGCAGCAGATTGACATCCAGCAGAAGAAGATGCTGGGCTCGGTGAAGTCTAGCCTGGAAAACTACAAGCTACAGAGACAGCAGCTGAATGAGGCATGCAAGAAGGTGAGCATATTTCACTTTTAGTTTACATCCTCAGTTGAGCTGGGAAATCCCTTCCATGCTTTGCTGGAAGAGATCCCCGTGTGGATTCCCGGGCCCTGTTACAGGGAAAGCAAGAATATACCCACTGCCTACCCTAAAGCATGTTGTAAGAGTCGACTAATTGGGAGCTTCCTTGAAAGTCAGAGTGCATCTGCCTGAGAGGCAAGGAACGAGCGGACTGCATACAGATGAGTCAGATCTGTTAAACAGATGCACACGCAATACTCAGGTTCTAAGAACAGGTCTGCAGTCCAGAAGTGGATGAACAACCAGAACTTTCCGCCAAAGTTTAAGCAGGTGAACGCAAAGAAGCTTTAAGAGAAAATCAAACTTCGCCACATCCAACCAGCATCCCCAAAGGCAGAGCTTTAGGTTATAATAGTGACTAGGTTACGTGCGCGGTGTAAATTGGTTTACCATTGCACGCCATTAAAAGCCCTAAAAAGGACTCCAGCAGGGTTGATATGATCAGAGAAGACAGACCGAAATACTGTCCCGACCAGCCACAGTGTCTACTAGCGAGCCAGTAGGGGACCCATTTGCTGATGAATCAGCTGGGAAATTTCATCTTAATCGTTTTAAAGCTCAGAACTGACCGGAAATTCCTGGTCACTTTTCCAAGTCTGACTGGACTCTAGTTACCACTAATAACTGAGAGCAAAAGGTCTTATAGACTGTAATGGTTGCAGCGTATAGAAAAAGCAGCAGGTAACAGAGAAACAGAAATTCTGTATTGCTCATAACAAGCATCATGAGGGCTAATAGACTGCGGTGGTTGGGACCTGTGGAGAGTGTGGCAGAAGGCAGAGAAACAAACTGCATACCACTTGTAACTGCCATCATAAGTGCTAAAAGACTGCAACGATTAGGGCATATTGAGAGAGTGAAAGATAACAGAGAGATGAAAACTGTGTACCCAAATGTATTAAATGGGAATAGACCACAGGACAGACCAAGAAGACAGGCAGGGAATACAATACAGACAGACCTACAAACATTTGGAGTCACCAACAGGAAGGAGATGGCCAGTCAGACATGTCCCACTATTTCAGTCAATTAGCCCTCATGATTATTAATTTCACTGTTGCTTCTCCTTCTCCATTCCCTGCTGTTTGCATATTTGATGGGTGCCGCTATTCATCGTAAAACTCTGTTAAAAAAAATCTTAGCTCACAATATTGATATTAGTAACTGTGATTAGTGATTAGAAAGGATTATCATCACAGCACTCCAGACAGATCCATAGGTGCTCTGATCTCCTTAAAAGCTCCACAAGTGTAAAACGACTGATGACGCCTGTTCTGTGTTGGTTAAATAAACATCTTGTCCACTTAGTGTAATACTGATATTTTTGCCTCAGACTTGACTCATTCAGGATGGTTGTTTTCTGTCTTGCTGCAGATAATGAAATGGGCAGATCATAAACAATATCATTTGTTAGGAAATTAGTATTTTGAATCTATTATTGCAGGCAAATATTTTAGTGCTAATTTTTTTTCATCTTGTTATAATTATGATTTTAAACATTTTCACAAGTAAATGCTTATACATAAGCAGTGCTTTCCTTCAGCACCCCTTACTTTCACTTCAAATTATCAAAAACATGAAATAAAATGGGTCATTGTTTCCGTTATTATTTCTTTATACTTGTATGCTGTATAATCTGTAAGCCTAATGTCAATAGCTACATCATAGTTGAAAAATTTTTGTTTTAATTCTGGTATAAGATTGTACATTTCACTGTTCCGGCGACACAGTGTTTGATTGTTTTATGCATGCTCACATGTCTGAGATAAGAAGCTGCACATAGACTAGAGGGGGCACAGTCAGACTGGTCTGACTCTAGACTTAAACTTTTAAACAGTAATAGTACTGAGTAAAATAAATCTGAGGGAAATCAGCAACATTCTAAGGATACTAGGATCTTTTCAAGACCCCCCATCCCTAAAGCTGTGGTCACCAAACAGGAGTCAAACCTGCCACCTCCAAATTATGACAGTGCCTCGCTTCGGGAAAAGTGCATGCACTTCAGCCAGTTGTGTAACCAAGCTTGAACAAACTCTCATAACCTTTAAAGGTTTTTCTTCTTCTTTTTCAAATTAGTTTTTAATTTATTTTTAGCTTTTGTTCACCATACAAGGCATATACCAAAAGAGGAGAAGGATGTAGAGCAAGAGGTAGACCAACAACGAGATGGGAAGATAACATCACTGAAACTTTACAGATCCCTCAACACCTGAAGTGGTAAAAGAGAACATAAGAAAGAAAAGAAGAAGCTTGTGTACTCATTAACTTATGTAGTTGTTGACTGATTACAAAAAGCTACTAGTTGTCATAGTTCTCATGTGTCCCCTTTGGTCATCAAAAGAAATAAATTGTTGGCTGTCCTGGCTTGAGTGTTACACCACTTGTTACAAAGCATCTCGAATATTTAGGTCACCCGCCATCACTTCATAAAATAGCACTCCAAAATGTACGTGCAGCATTTGAAAAAAAAAATGGGTTAACCTGCCTTGCTTTCTTTGCTGTCCTGAAGAAACATCTGTCATTGTCGTGAACGTTTTTTTGTGTGCAGATAAACACCCTGCTGTATATAAAAGGCAAGTCTAATCGAAAATTGTTATGTAGATTGATGTTGTTTGTTGGCATCCTTCCATCTTGTTATGTGATAGGGTTATATTGTACGAGGGACAGGCATGGGCATCAAAGTCCACGATGATGGCAAGTGCCAAGGCACAAAGCCTGAGCCGTATCGGAGACACTATGTACCACCCATTCCTCAGCTTGCCTTTTCAACTGCACAGGAAAGGTAACACCGATACATTTAGATTGGTGTTGAGGATAAATAGCAATCAGTTTTTAACAAAATATATTTTAAGGGCAACTTTTTTTTTTTTGTTGTTGCAGGAAAAATCTAAAGTGGCCCATTGTGATAAGAAAATTGTGGAGATCTCTAAAGTTTTAGCAATTCCTGCCACGGATGGTAACACTCATTCAGATGATGAGATGGAGGTACTACCTTATACTGTCTCTTTCTCACTCCCCCTTCCCTCTCACTCTCTGTCTTTCTGCCTGTCTGCCTGCCTGCCTGCCTGTCTGTCTGTCTGCCTGTCTGCCTGTCTGCCTGTCTGTCTGTCTGTCTGTCTGTCTGCCTGCCTGTCTGTCTGTGTGGGTGAGAGTGTGTGTGTGTGTGTGTGTGTATGTAAGTCTGTCTGTCTGTGTGGGTGAGGGTGTGTGTGTATGTAAGAGTATGTGTACGTTGTGTATTTGTGACTGCATATGATTGTGAACATATATGATGTGTGTATGCATTATTTCATTATTTATAGTTTTATATAGACATAACATGCATTATTGATAACATGCAATTGTGGTCTGAGGGATAAATGCTCGGAGTGGTTGAATGTAATCATCAGTTCTCGTTATGCCTAGTGGCACATGAGGCTTCAGAGAGGACTTTCCATGCTTTCCTGTCCTGTGCAATCTTCAGTGCAGTTTTCCATGTAAAAGATGCCGCACTCAGGTCACTTTCCATCGTTTATCTCCATGTTGTTTTTGGGCGCCCCTGTTTTCTCTTTCCTTCTGGTGTCCATGTGAGAGCTGTTTTGGCAGGTATATCAGAAGTCATTCTCATAATGTGGCCAAGCCATTTTCATCTTCTCTTGGTAATCATACTGTCTAAAGTTTCTTGGTTTGTGGCTTGAAGTAGTTTAGTGTTTGAGATTGTATCTGGCCAGAAAATTTTGATAATTCTACATAGACATGTGTGGTGGAAGGTGGACAGCTTGTGTGCATCCTTATTGGTCATTCTCCAGCATTCCGCTCCATAAAGAAGAACTGGCAAAATGATGCTCTTGTAGAGTCGGAGTTTCGTTCCTCTGCAGTAATTGTTGGATTTTCAGATTTGATTCATCCTTCCAAAAGCAGCTCTAGCTTTGTTCAGACGTGACTGTATGTCTTCCTCTGTCCCTCCCAGTAGGGACACCACACTGCCAAGATATGTGAAATGTTCTACATTTTCAAGTGATTGGTTACTTATGGTCACTGGTTGTTGGTTGAATGTAAGTTGGGCGTTTATGGCCCAGTTTGTAACTCTTTGAAAAAAAAGTTAGTTTATTCATTCATTCTCTCTCTTTCTCTCTCTCTCTCTCTCTCTCTCTCTCTCTCTCTCTCTCTCTCTCTCTCTCTCTCTCTCTCTCTCTCTCTCTCTCTCTCTCTCTCTCTCTCTCTTGCTTGCTTATTTATTCACGTTTTTCAGCAATTATACTATTATTGTTTTCTGATTTTTTTTTTAAATATTCTTTTTTTTTTTTTTTAAATCTTCTTTCTTTTCTATTTGTTTTTGCATTTTCCTCTGCTTTACTCCATTGTTTATGAAAAATTTCAGGATTCCTTAGAAGGTCACTCACCATTTCACCCCAGAAGCCATAGAATTGTTGACAGCAGCGGAACTCCCATAGAACTCCGGCGACCGTTTGACTTCTCATTGGACAGTTCTCCGGGCAGTGGCAGCTTTGGACCTGGTAGTGACCCAGAGAGGAAAAAGTCTGCCACTTTGATGGAAATTGAAAGAAACCGGTCACTCTTCATTGAACAACAAGGTAAGGACACTATGAGAAGCATGGCTGTAGACTATACTTTTAATTGTAGACCATACTTCATTATACTATTTTAAAGGACCAGAGCTACAGACTATACTTTGTATTTGTAGCATTATCACAGCAGACTAGTTTATCAGAGTAAATTAATTGAGACTACACTCTTTTAGATTGTCCTAACAACAGACATACTTTGTCCTAGTACCATAATGTTGATGAAAGGTGGGAAATAATTTAGTCTTCATGTACTAAGGCAACTACAGTTAACATATTTCACCAGATTTAGCAGGTTAATTTTGATACATAATTTTGAATGTCTTGTGAATAATGTTATAAATAGCCAATGGCAGGCTTCTCCCTCTTGTAGTAAACTATACTTTATTAAAGCAGACTATACCTTTTTTCTTTTTCTTCAGAGTACCATAATGCAGACTAAATTTTTTATAGCAGACTATAGTTAATCAGGGTACCAGCACATCAGACTATACTCAGTTATTATCAGAATACCTTTCTGTAAACCAGATTTTTTATTGTGATTGGCCAAAGAAAGGTTGTAAAGTTACTTACAATGCCAGCCAGAGTCCACCCTATTTTTATATTTAAAAAAAAAATTTACAGTCAAACATTTCCCTTTTGTTTTTTTAAAATCAAGATTGTCTTTTTCTAAAAATGTTTAATGATATGTTATATTAGAATTCAAGGTTTCAGGAGTTAATATATAGAGATATGTACTTATATATAGTTATATGAAAGCTCTTACCTCTTATTGGTTCCAAAGCCCCATTTTGAGGAAAAACCAGAAAAGACCAACTGCCCTCTAATAAACATGCTGTTAAAGGCGACTAATTGGGAATTTGTGGAAATCAGAAGTGTTGGGCTAAAAGGGACAGATTTCACAGCCTAGCTGTAAACCACAATACAGTGTGCTAACTGTCCTTTTAAGAAGGAGCAAAGTGGAAAATTTGACAGTTGATGAATTTGTTTCTCTGTAAGTATTAAAGTGTAGCACTTCTGTAGTTAAAGAATAGAGGTAAGCTGACTTATGAATTGGCAACACAAGACTCAGTAGATTTCCCTAACCACTCCGTCCTCATCTTCAGCAGTAATAATGGACCCTTTTCCATATCTTCATGGTATTGGGAATGTATGGCTAAACCTATATTTTATTGACCAATCGGCACTCAATGGGTGGTCAGCATCAATCTGACCGCTTTTACTACCCAGGACTGTACCTGGTATCCATTTTAGGCTTGGTCAACCTGGCAGCCATAGTCATTTTTTGAAAAAAGTCTGGCTCCATCAGGACATGAACGTACAGCTATCTGATCCGCAAGCAACCATCTAGTCACTACACCACGGCGGCTCCTCAGCAGTAATAACAAGGCTACAGTTCTGATGAGTTGGTGTGAGTTTGTTGAGGGCCTATGCTCCATTGTTAGTTAGAAAGGAAGAAGGAGAAGAAGAATTTTAATGGTGTCGCTAGCAGTTAAATAATTTTATGTTATAATATCTTAAAAGGTATGTTGCTTCATGAAAGTTAATATATCATTTTCTATCCTGTTCTTTAAGTTTGCTGCTTTGGGGAAGTAGCCCACTTAAACAATGCTTGCTTTTTGCTTTTCCTCAATTTTCTTTATTCTTGCCCTTTACCAAAGTCTTGGCTTTCTAATGGCTTTAACACCGTCTGTCTCAAGATGTATTTTTTTAATGCATGTTGTTTCTTACTTGGAGCTTAAACTGTAAATGTGCTTTAAGTAAGTTTGACTGCTTTGTGGGGGCATTTAAGGCAGTAAATTAGTCTCGTCTGTACTGAGAAACAATCTGTACAGATGGCTCTGTGGTGAGATGTAGGCAGAACCTGGCATATGATATTAGAGCATCTAGTTGGAGAATGAAGTTGGAGGCAGTCACTGCTGTCTTCCACTGGATTAAGAATCAGCTGTACAGACATGTCGTAATTGTAACTGACTCACACAGAAAGGTGGAGACAGGCCTGCTCCATGCAGAGTGGCAAGCATGGCTTCTTAGGTTCCAGGTAGTTGGCATCCTGTAGATATTTTCTTAAAGTTTTGCCTGTGTGTTGGGAAATGAACAAGCAGATAGATTGGACAGTTTTACACCACTTGGTGGTGAATTGATGTATGACAAGCTGGATGTTGTGAGGACCCTTTGGAAGCGAGTGAACGGTGCCGAGACTCAAACAGATCATTACGGTCTCTACGGGAAAGGTGAGACGGATATGCAAACAGCTATTGGTACCATCGGAATTGTAACTCTTTGTTTGCTGCTGAAGATGGGGATGGAGTACTTATGGCAGTATCCGAGTGATGTGATGTTGATTCTTATTTCAACATTCTACTGAGAAACTGCTTTATGTTTGTCCTTTAAAGATCAAGTCAGAAACGGGCTTGCTCAATGAAGCAGTGCACTAAACAGCACGAAGAACCTATTGTATAGCACCTGCAAGTGAGTTAAAATCAAAGTTTGGAGATCTTTCTCTGGCATTTTATGGAGGTCTTGGTCTTTGAAGAAGAGAATCTGAAGCGCTACAGCAAAATTATTAAAACCGTTGATATCCTTCGTGACCTGAACATCAAGGAGAACTGGCTCATAAACAGCATCCTCTCCGCAATGCTGGGGTATTGTGGACATGTCAAGCGCCATGGTGGTCTGGAGAGAATGGTGAAGAAGGCTGCAGTTTCCGGAAAATGAAGCAGAGGCCCACCGCCACAAAGGGGGATACAGGACATTGAAGATGTACTGGCTATGAAAGCAGACGGGGCTGGAGAAATAGCTAGAGAAAGAGAGACTTTCAGGCGTGCCGTGAAGAGAGTGACCATCCCTAGAGGAAATGCTGATTGATTGATAGAGGACACTGATATTGTTTGGGCACTAAGTAAGAAAACAAAGGACCCTTTTTTCCACCAGTGGTACATCAGGTGTACATAGGGGGTGGCTTCAAAAGAAAACCTTAAAATTGTGTTGACAATTTCAGTAGCCATGTCATCGTCTTGTAACCTTGTCAGTGTTATGGATGTCAGGAGCGTTAAGCACCTGACATCAGGATGCACACGAAGACAGTAACATCATAATGACATGCAGGCAGGTTGGCAAATAGTTAGTCATCAGATTATCCTCACTGCCCATCAAACCATTCAATCCTTATGTGCTCGGATCCCCTGCTCAGTAAATCTGGCAGCATGTAGCGACACCAGTTCTGTGTTGGCTTCGTATTCTTCTTTGGCTCTTTTCTGGCCACACCTGTTTTAACAGGCTGTTCTTGCAGTCTAGTGATGGTTACAAGTTCACAGTCCTCACTTGGTTCTCGCAAATGTCTCACTTCTCATAAAGCATTTAGTATATCAGCATGGTCTAGCTAGATAGCCATGTCTAGCTGGAAATCACAAATAAGACGTGCCATTTGACCTTTTAAGGGGGAACCAAGAAAAAAAAAGAAGAACTTAATTGGTACTGTCTGTTGACATTACCCTTTCAGCACCTGGACATTTCACAGCAGATTACCAGTGGGAATGGTCTTCTTAGAAGTGTCATGCCTTTAATATGGGTCGCACCAAATGCAATCAATTTAATCACATTACACATTGAATGCTGTACATGGGAAAGAAACCAATATCACTTACAAGGAACTGACAAAGCCACAGCTTCCAATAAAATAATGGTTTCTAGTTGAGGCACTTTTTTCTGTCCCAGTGTTGGACGCAATTTTCGGTTGTTTTACAGCTTCACCCTGGCTGTTGCCAGGGGTCCTAATATAACCCACCCTATGGGTTAAATTGGGTTTCAGAGACCTGTCCCCGGGTGATCCTTATCCGAATGGTGGCACTTTATGTCACCGGGTGTTAGTGGCTCGGTGTGATATACCGCTGGAGTTGAATGTCAGTCAGTCATCATGGCTTCCGGGGGTGTTAATGCTTTCTAACAAGGGAGGCTATATTCCTAAAACCGTTGTTGGCTAAAATCGAGTCATGTCCCTTAACCATTGCTTCTCTGTTCTCCCTAGCTAACAAATATTTCCTGTCTGGTACGTATACCGCATAGCTCTTTTGTTTCGTTGTTTGTTCTAATAGTTCAGAAGCATGCATTGTTTCTTTATTCACTTCAAAAAACCAGCATGTGTGTGTTTGTCTTTTGTTTTGTTCAATTATAACAGCCCACACTGGTTTATTGACTGTGTTGTGTATTTACATTTTCTCCCTAGTTTGCACAGGATCTGAAGCAAATTATGAAACACGGTTTCTTAGCAGTGCTGGGTACAGGGTCTCCCATCAGTTTCCTTCCCTAGGAAAAATAAATGTTTGTTTGGGAACATTATTTTTATTTATGTAATATGCTCTACATACGAGCTGCTATGGCGTAGCAGCTAAACTCTCGCCTGCAGATCTGAAGGTCATGTGTTTGGGTCCTAACAGAGCCAGACTTTAACCAAAATGACCTTAGCTCCAAGGTTGACCCAGCCTTGAAGTGGGTACCAGGTACAGACCTGGGAGGTAAAGGTGGCTGGCATGTTGTAGACCACTTCACTCAACCAGTGCCGATGGGTCTATCAAATATATGTCTAGCCCTATATGCCCAATATGCCTAAAGGCGATGGAAGAGGGTCCTTGACTTTAATACGCTCTACATGGGAACCTTTGTTTTGAGAAAACATTTAGATGCGTGGCCTAGAGGGCTGAAGTGCACGTATAAGCACAGTTGGATTTGTGCTTGTAATTATGTTGGTGATATGTTTATCGTTCCTATGTATGGAATCTTATGGGACACCCTATACGTACATTTTCCCTTTAGTTTGCACATGAGCTGAAGGAAATAACAAGACATGGTTTCTCTTCAGTGCTGCCTATGTTTTTGTCTGTTTTTGTCAGGGGTGACAACTCTGCATGCCAAGTTATCTGTTTTTATTATATTAGATTTTGAGATTCCCTATAAGTAGCTTCACCTTGGCCTGGGGAGAGGGGGTTGGCCTAGGGAAAGGGGGTTGGCCT